CTTGCGGAAAATGAAAAGCATTTCCCACCACTACAGAGACAGCGGCGCGCTCGCTATATACACATGGCGCAGCGACAAAGGTCTCCTCTACACACGCTCGCCCCTAGAATGGGTGCGAAAAGGCGCGCTATATGCCGGCACATTGGTTGGCCAACAAGTGGCGATGGGCGGTGTGCAGAGGCGGACACCAATACATGGACAGTGAGACGAACGGCGACGGCGACTACGCAATGCTTGGCAGCCAAGGCGCAGGAGCGCATAGCTCATAGCATGGATCGGGGAGGTGGCGGCAGAGCGTGGGCGTGCAGCGGCAGCTGTCTCCGTGTGTGAGTGAGCATGTGTGTGTGTGTGTGTGTGGCAGGCTGATAGCAGTAACAATTTCAGGTGGGCTGCCTGCCGCTGCTGCTGCTGTTGCTGCTGCTGCTGTTGCCAACACCCACCCGCCCACATCCGTTCGAGGCGTCGCGTCGCAGCTCGACTGAAACATAAACTTGTTGAATAAACAAATCGCACACACACATACACACAGAGCAGGCAAGCGAAACAGAAATTTCCAAAACGAATACTTCCAATTGGCTATGATACATACATGCATACATATATATATATACATATACATACATATATGCGTGTATGCGGATCGGGCATTTATATAGCGAATATAGACTGGCATCTAGCGCATTTATGCGTTGGCGTTCAAGTTGTTTTTGGAATCAAATATCGTTGAACATAAATTTCACACCCATTTAATTGTGTACGTATGTAAATGTATTCAGGCAACACACACACACACACACACACACACACAGTCATAACTAGCGCAGAGTCTTTTAGATCAAATCCAAATATATATGCATATATACATATGACTTATCATATATGTATGTACTTTATGCATATGTAAAGTGATTTCAAAAGTGGCCAAGAATGAAATGAAAACAACGTTGCAACACATGCATGCCGCCCTTAAAGCCCACATATCTTAACTATTTAGCAGCTATTCCTTGAGACAATCATGAAATATAGATATTTTGTACAGGTATATATAAATATACATATGTATGTATGTATATGCTGACGTTGCTGCTGTCTGCCAAAGAGCCGGCCTTAGTTCACAGCGACTGCGTCTATTTATCTATACCTTCGATCTATTCGTCATTGTTCTGCTTTTGATACTTCGTCTAAATTGCCTGCCTAGCATACCCTGCTGGCATAGCTGCTTAGCTCATTTAGACTGTGAAATCGTGAATGAGTATATAATATAACACATTTATTTATCAAATAGCGCATATACCTAATATAATATATTTTGTACACATATTTTTTTAATTTTAGGAAATTCCATTAGACTTTTAAAAATATATATATAAATAAATGAATGCCCCAAATCCTAGCGCATCCAACAAGAAACGTCCATCAAAAGTCTATACTTTTCCTTATTCTTATTTCAAACTAACGACCAACTATTTAATACCCGTTCAGGACTCAACTGCACAGAAAGCGTATTCAAAACTCTATGTTCTTAAATTTTAAACGGTCTAAGGGCAAGACTTGCTGACTCCAGCAATAAAAATATGATATATACATACATATATGTATATATCATATGACTCGCACCCAAAGGTCACTTATACTCGACCGATAATATTTGATTGATCCCTAAAGAAAAAAATTATACTCGAATTTTCTGGCATTGTAGAGCACCAATAATAATAAAAGAATATATAAAAATAATAAATAAATATTGTTGAAAATTTAAGTAATACAACAATTGATATACATATATGAAAAAAAATGTGTGTAAAAAAAAAATAAAATTTAAGCGAAACAATGAAAATAAAAATAAAACAAATATGAAATAAAAATAAAAGTAATAAAAAAAAAATTGTATAAAAAAAATTCATAATAAGATATTGATTAAAAAAAATTAATAACATTCGAAAAAGTGATATATAACTAAAAAAAAAAATTATTATTAATAGAAAATTATTTAGTAAAATTTTTTTTTTATTTATTTTAAATTTTTATTAAATTACATATTTCAAAAAACAAATAATAATTAAAAATGTTGTTTATTATTGATATTGATTATTTATACTTGAATTTTTTTATAATAACTTTAATTATTTATACTTTAACAACAATAATTTTAAATATTTCCTAGGAACTGTTAACATAAAATATATATGCAATTTTCTTAACATAATATAATATTAAAATAAAATTAAAATTTAAAAAATTGTAAAAATATATACATTATAAAAAAAACCATACAAACTTTCCATAGCTTTAAATAACTTGAATCAAATAATTGTGAATAATTATTCACATCATATAAATCTTATTTGCTTATTCGAATCTGTTTCAAATTTTTGTTCTATTTTTTTTTATTTTTATTTTTTTTTTTTTTTTTTTTTTTTTTTTTTTTTTTTTTTTGCTTTCATTTTTGTTGTTTTGTTTCGCATTTCGTGGCACTGGGTAAAAGTATATGCTTGTTTCTTAAATATAGAACTGTTTCTATATGCATGTATGTGTGGCTGTAGCTGAACGCATATAATCTACACACACAGCCAGACATTGGTGTTGGATTTATAAATACATACATATGTAGCATAGTATGCAAGTCGCATAGATATATATATATATATATATATATATATGTGCATAGACGACACACTCGGGACTCTGATACAATTTAGAAAGGGATTTTCATACAACAAGTCTGTCGAATCAGAATCAAAAAAGTTGCCTACCAACAGATCCAGAATTGATAATTTCATAGGCTTTAAATTGACCTACTAAACTGAGAGTTGCATAATCAATGAATCAAATATCATACCGTTGCAGTTTGAGCTCTCGGTTGACCTATTTAAGTATGCCCTAGGACGTAAGCTCCATTTAGCCATATGCATATATCAATTTCAAATGAGTAAACGAACATTTGCCATCTGCCAATGTTTCTAACTTTGAACTTAGTCAAATATTTCAGCAATCTGTTTTTCATATACTATGTATGTCAGCTATAATATGTATATGGCATATACATATATACATTATATATATTTATCTTAGTTGCCTTCAACTAAATTTCAATTCGCATCATCTTCAACAATCAACAAAAATCAAGGAAAACAAATAGCAATGTTTTCGGGTATTTGGGCTATTTTTGGGTCTCTTGTGTGGGCGAATATGTGCTTCGGGTTGCCTTCGGTTTTGCTCGTTTCCTCGCGCTCTATATATCTATACAGTTATGCATACATATCTACATTTCGGATCATGCATATGCATACATATGTATGTATGTGCGTAGCTTATATGGATTCTACGACAAACTGTTTCAATTTCTATCTTTGGTCGCCGTTTTCTACTGCAAGCCGAAACGGATGCACAAAACTCTAAGCAGACACATTCCAATACGTACTATATATCTCATTTACATACAATTCAAATATTCAATGAATTTCAAATTACTTTTGAATCACACACAACCAGATGGGATACTTTGATTTGCATTTGCGTGGCCATGAAAAGCATTTCATATGCATGTTTTCTTGTTGATTTAAAGAATAATCTGTGGAAGCAACGTTCACTAAGTATCACTGATATAAAATAATGAAAACTGCCAATGGAGTATCTCAAAAACTGATCGGTTTTACCTATAAAAATACATATAATATCAATCGAAATATCAATAGATCTGATGTTTACTCAATTCATTGTCTTTCCCCACGTCTATTTGTCGTGAAATCTATACTGACTTCGAAACATCGACATATCAAAGTTTTACAAAATCCTCAATGAAAAGCCGCTTAAGTTTGGAATACCTATAGAGCTATATTTTTTTTCTAGAGCTTTCAGTATTTATAAACAGCTATTTTTCATTCAATTTAATATGCAAATGAGATCCTAATTTGAAACCTGTAAAAAAGGGAATATCATCAAAAATATTAACATTTTAAATATAAATAATGTATTCGTATAGAATATAAATATATAAACAAAATTTCTAAAAAGCATTTACAAAATTAAATATTTCTGAATTATTGAAAATTTATAGAAATAATATGTTGCAAATCTTTCTTTATACTTAATGAAATACTGCAAATACTGCACAGATCAATCGCTGAATTAAACATTTTGCTAGGATTTTCGTAAATCATATAAACAAATTCAGATTTGCAAATTTATTTTATTTGTTGCTCATGATATGTATTACTTAAACAGAATATAATACATACAATTGAAAGAGTCTCTGACTCTTAACTCATTGAACTAATGTAGCTCTGATTATCATAATTTTTATCATATACAATACCCACTTATTAACACATCATAGATATTTCATATAGAATCCATTCTGCTTCATAGATTTGAATGGGCTTTCAGAATAGCAAACATATTTTGTAACGAACAACAATCCGTTGAGTGCCAAAATTAGAATATATACGTGCCGACGTTTGTTTTAAAAATAAATGAAATTCAAAAACAAAAGCAAGTAAAACGCTTGAGAATCAAATTATAGAAGTCAAGCAGAAGGTAAAAATTTTAGAAATAATCATTAAGAAGTTGCAAAATTATAAGTTTATAATTTGTTTATAGTCCTATGCAGCCTAATGAAACTTGGTATTCGCCCTGTCTATCTCATTTACTAAAAACACAAGCTAAATCCGAAACTACTACAAGCAATAATAGTTGCAATAGTAATAATATATCATTTATAGCCGTGGTAATATGTAACAGTATTAGAACAGAGCATTAGTATTAACATAGTTTATGATAAAGTCGTAAACAGCATTACTTGACCCACATGTTTGACAATAACAATAAGAGTAAGCCTTAATTATATGAATTATAGAATGCTTCGCTGTCTATTTAAGCATTTTTATTTAGAGTTAAGCATTTGTAACGGCTTGCCACCATTGTTATTGGCTTATTCGATAATTGGCACTCAAATATCGGCTAATTGTTGTTTATGTAGATATCGCAGTTACGATTGTTTTATTCTATCGACCAGCCACCACAACCTTTTTGTCGATATCTCTGCAGTTCTATTTGCAAATTTTGAAGAACAACGAAATAAGATATCTAACTACAAGCATATTGACACATATGTACGTGTAATTTGAGCTTTATTGTTTGGTTCGGTGTCATCATTGTGACTTTTGTCTTCTGTTATTCTTTCGCAGTGACGCTGCAAGGCGTACCTTCGTTTCCCCCGCCCATCAGCATCCGTTTTTGTTGTTGTTGTTGTTGTTCTTCCTGTCTGATTGACGCATCTATCGCAAAAATTGTACGAAGTTTGCGTCGAGTCCACGGGTAAAGATGGCCAGCGAGCCAGAAAACAAACCGCCCATACTACATATTTTGGTTGTTGGCTTCCATCACAAGCTCGGCTGTCAGGTGGAGTTCTCGCATCCGCCGCTTGTCGCCGGCTCAAGTGGCCGCAACGAATGTCCCTCCGGCTGGAAATACTTACCCACGCTGGCCCTGCCAGATGGCTCGCACAATTTCATGGAGGACACCGTGTTCTTCAATTTGCCCAGCCTATTTGAGCCAGCCGCCAGCATTTACGGTGTATCGTGCTATCGTCAAATTCCCGTAGAGAAACTCAAGATACGCACCGCAGACGTGACTCGCAGCACCGTACAAAAGTCAGTGTGCATACTGGCACGTCTGCCCATCTATGGTTACATTGAGGTGAAACTGGCGCTCATCGCCGACGCCTTCTTCGACCAGGGCGACTTTAGCTGCACTGAGCTTCTGGTCAAGGCATATCAACAGCTGAATGCCTGCCTGCTGGACGAGGAGACGCACCGCCCGTTGCGCCACTTCCACGTGGGCCTCTCGCTGCGCGAGATTGTGCTGCACTGGCGCCACAAGAGCCTGATGCTCTTCAAGCTCTTGCTGTTGCAGAGGCGTGTCGTCTGCTTCGGCTCGCCCGTGCGCGGCATGTGTGTACTCATACTGGGCATGGCCTCGCTGATACCACGTTTGCTGGAGAAGGGATTCCAGGAGGTGGCCTGTGTGCGCACTTCGCGCCCGCTATCGCCCATGCCCGACTTTACCGACTCGCTCCAGCGCGAGGCTGAAGCCGTTGCCGAAGCCGAGATTGAAGCTGATGTCGTCGCAGAGGCCGAAGATCTAACGGTGGTCTCGTCGGCAGCCTCGGCTGGCTCTCAGTGCTGCAACAGCAGCGGCAACACCTCGCCGCATACAACTCCCAACTCACAGTCCCACGACTCCAGCTGCCCGACCACAACGCCAACGCACAACGAGCTGCAGCGCGTCGACTCGACGGAGAGCGGCACCAGCGCAGGCGGAGCCAGTAAACGGAATGGACGCAGCAGCTCACTGACTCGCGAGGCAAGCGTCGACACATTGGCCTGTAAGTAGAATCGATCTGTTTCAAAAAAGCTTCCCTTAGTCCATATTTGCCTTTTTGTTAGCTAATCTTGCCGCACTGTGCGCCATAAATCCTGACGAATATCGTGCACCTGTCAGCATCTTTGCCAGCGGCAACCTCTGCCTGCCCTACTTGTCGCTACCGTACATGGACCTGCTCAGCGATCCCATGGTGCTCTCCTATATTATTGGCACCTCCAATGTGCTGTTTCAGCAAAAGCGCCAGCTGGCCGATGTGCTCGTCGACATCGAAGCCGCTAATTTGGATGTCCATGATCCGGAGCTGCGGCGGCAGCTGGTGCTCAGCACAGAGGACCTGCGCTTCATGGACTACATACTGAAGCATGTACAAACGCCCAAAGAGGATGCCGAAGGTAGCGAGTATTGGATACGTGAACAGTTCCAGGGCTACATACTGGCACTGCTACGCGCCGCGGTGGCACCTGGTGAGCAGCAATAACCGTTTATGTAAAAGAAATTACATTGTCTAATTCTTCATGCTTGCCGTAGACATCAAGGACAATGATCACTTTAATCCGCACTTCATGAGCGCCTTCAAGCGCACACAATGCTACCAGGAGTGGTTCGATGTGCGACCCGATCCCGAATTTTTCGAAGCGCTGCCCGCTGGTCATCCATTTTCGGGCACGCTGTCCGTGGCGGACATGAAGCTGAAGCTGGCGCAGTAAGCGATAACCGAAGTGTTTAAAGACGCGAATTTTTAAATATAATTTTGTTTTTCACTTGCACAGAACCATGCAGAATAGCGAAAGTGGACGTAAGATTAATCAGGCTGTTAACAACACGAGCCGAGCTGTAGGCGGCGCCATCTCACAGGCCAAGGGAGCCCTCTCCAGCTGGTGGTCCTCCATTACGACTGCGCCGGCCAACAGCACGGGCGGCATGGCCTCCGGGTCTGGTGCTGATAGCGACAGCAATCAAAATCACAGTCATATGGAGGACAGCATCGATGGCGGCGCTGGACCGTCGCAACAGCCGCAGGAGATCTCAGTTACATTCCAAAACCACAAGGACGAGGCGGAGCTTGACGTGGCTGGCGTGAGCATACACATGGCCAGCCAGCTAAGCGAGGATAGTCTGGAGGAGGCACAGGAATCGCCGCAAAAGTCTCAGGGCATTGTCGAAATTGGCAGGGAGGCCGAGCTGCTGGACAAGGTCAGCCAAGGGGAGCCAGCGACGACAGCAACGCCTGCCCAGGCGCAAACTCAATCTCAGTCACTGCGTTCTGGATGTGGCAGCGACCTAGCTCTCTCCAACGTTGCATCATCCACTGTCGACCACAATAATGGTGATGTCTTTATTGTTTGAGCTGAGCCATCATTGGCATAAACGACTCACACATACACACACACACACAGACACCTCTGTATAAATTTACCTAAGCTATATACATACTTATTTATTACAAGATGATATTGTTTCAGCGCGTTCTATCCGAATCCCATCAAATTGGCCAAAAATTATGTTATATTACGTATGTATGTGTATTCGCATGTATGTAAGCCCTACCCTCACACACACGCACACACACAGAAAAGACGACGACGAGCTCGTATATATATATATATTATATATATAAATGTAACACAGTACAATGTAAAGCTAAACCTAAACCTAAACCGTACCAAGTGCAATTTAAAACAATGTAATCCAAATGATTAATATGCATGGCAATAACTAGGCGAGAATCCAAAGCAAGCGAATGTAGCTCCTCACCTAATACTATCTCTATCTCTTTCATATTCATACAGTTTGTAGAGTATTTCGCAGTCGGCATTGCAATCAGCACAACTATAAATAAATGTACCTGCGTGTACTGTAATTCAAATGATATAGCCGTTGAGACAAGCCTCTTGACTTGAAATTAATCTAAACAAGAATTTAAACATTCATCTATCAATAATAAATATACTCGATATGTAATTACTTCATTTGTACGTTTTCTCATGCAAATTAAAAAGTTATTGAATTGAATAAATTATGAAAAATTCCTATATGTGCAATACTATAAGTATCATCAATATATTCATATATCTGTTTGCTATTATTATTTGTCAATAATTGATTATTTATCTATTACTAACTCCATGCTATCATGCATGAATTCCGAGATCCCTATGTACCACTGACTTCATTTATTTATAAAGATTTGGGCGCTCTAGGTTGCATTTATTTTATCACTACGTTGTTTACATTAATAATCAAATAATCCATTAATTTTCTTATACTAAAAAACATTTTAAAAAAAAGTATATATAGATACACATAAATTAATTAATTATCAGATTTTTGAACATATTGTCCAGCACGTCTTCAAACGGTGCCAGCTTGCTGTCTTTGAGTTGCTTTTCGATGCTGGCTATTCTGATGTCGTTCTGCGCAATTATCGCATCAACCTTCTTGAGGTGCTCCTCGCCATCGTCCAGCTGCTGTTTGTACTGCCTGCAGAATTCTTCGCGCTCGCTTATGATCTCGGCGTGTCGCTGCTCGGCATTGCTGAGGAGGGCTTCGTTCTCCTTGCGCATGTTATCCAATTGCTCGGTTAGGTCGTGCTGCTCCAGCTGCAGTTGCTCGAGCTTTGCATTGAGCTCACACTTGCGCTCTTCAAGCTGATGTTGTTGCTGCGCCCACATGGCCTCCCTCTCTTGGTGACTGTGGCGCAGTTGCTCCATCTGCTGCTCATATGACTGAATCTGGGTATTCAATTGTTTGTTGGCCCCATCGATATTTCTGATTTGCTTCGTCAGCTCGGTGATGTACTGCTCCAGGCATCGCAAGCGCTCCTTGTGCTGTTCCCCACGCTGCTCGAGCATTGTGCTCAGCTTGGTGAGGCGACGATTGCGCGCCTGGATGTCACCGAGCTGCAACGGCAGCGACAACACCAAATCCAACTTATCCTTCTCGCTGGCACTGCATATGTCCGAGTCGAGGCCAATGTTCTGCGCATGCGTGTTGAACTTCTCCACTTTGTCCAGCAGCTGTTTCTTGGCACGCGAGAATCGCACCTGCTGATCGTAGCCGCGCTCGGTGAACTCGCGCAGTTGCCGATTGTAGAACTTCTCCTTGGTCTCTAGATCACCGAGCACAGCCTTCTTGGCCTGAAACTGTTCAGCACTGCACTTCTGCTGACCCAATTCCCGGTGCAGTTGCTGTCGGTGCTTGCGCAGTGCTTTCACAGTGTCCACATTCTGAGCAACGGTTGCTTTGAGCCGTTCGATCTTCTCGCGATACTCTTGCGTATTGGCTTGCATGGTATGCAGCTTATGCTCCAGTTGCTGGTGCTGGGCGGTCAGTTGCTCCAGATGTTCGCTGTTGCCGTTGCGGGGTTTTTGAAGCTGCTCCTCCAGCTTCTGCAATTCGGTCTGCTGTCGTACTATGTCCGCTTCCAGAGCCGCGGTGTCGGGCAAGTCACAAATGCTTTTCACGATTCGATCGCTGACGTTTCGTTTTAGCACCGCGTACTCGTCCACCTTTTGCTTGTCCCACACAGCGAAGCACTCCGCGGATTTCGTAAACAGCAGCTGAGTCGTCTCCTCGTTAAGTATCACGCTGCCCATTTGTGTGTTAGACAGAGCCATCGAATCCTGTGTGTTCTGCACATAGCTGGCCTGCTCACTCGTCTCCATAAAGGGAAACTCCTCGTATTGGCCAGATTCTTGTTGCTTTTGCTGCGACGGAGGCGCGAAGTCCTTGAGGAAGTCAAGCATGACAATGACATGGCCAAACGAGTGCTGTGTGGTGGGTGTCATTAGCCAGGACTTATTCACTTGATATGGATAGTTGAGCTTGTGCAATGCGTTCGTTATGTCCTCAACGTGATTGCTGCCCACGGTGGTGCGATTCGGCCAAATGAAATGCAATAGGAAGTTCACAATGCCCACAAACTGTTTCATTGTCATTTGACGCAATGCCGCGGCACCTCGACTGAAGAAATCGCTTGGGAAATTTGGCAGTGCATAGGTCTGCACCATCTCATCCAGATACTCGGCTATCATCTGCGCCTGCTCCTGCACCCACTTCTTGTCCGTGTGAAACACAACCGGCCGCTCTGACGACGAAGCCTGCCGGTGCCGCAACGGCGTCACCGCATTCCCATTGGCCAGGCTCCGTTTTATTGTGGGCGGTGGACCCGTGCGGAGAGGCGTGCCACGGTCGCGATCCTGGTTATACTGGGTAAGCCGAGACTGCGGCTGCCAATCTCTGTGATTTGGCTTACTAATGGAGGATGATGCCGTATTTCGCAACAGCGACCTAAGGGCAGCAACGAAAGAAATGGAAAAAATAACTTTACATCAATTCGCTTCACATTATTCCACCTTGGACTTGCCTGGTTTGGCGTTTGTTAACGACGCCACCATCATCCCGGCCGTCATCGTGAAACTCTGAGGTACGTCGTGGGCGATACATTGAATAATACTAATGTTAAATCGCATACGCAATTGATAAAATAAAAACTTGCAAAACTGTAAGCAAACTGGATTTTCCAACTGTTTAGCGCGTTAGTTGAAATGACGCGAATATAGCTTCCACAGAACTGCGGGTTATCGAAACATCGATATCATGACTTCGATTACGTTGATCTACAGGGCTGCACGGGCCGAACAAGAGCGCTGTAGAAAATATCGATATTCTTCGTTCTAGGCGCGCTTTTTAAATTTGTTTTCCTTTTTTGAAATGTAAATTACAAAATTAACAATTTTATATTTATGAACTTCTTTCGTTTATTCCAACATATTAAATAATTGTAATTATTGTTTCATTTGTTACACAATAATCATGCTATTTTTATGAATTACATTAATTTTTAATTATTATTATTATTTTATAATTAAATATCGATCACATTTCCTTGCAGAACGTCTCATCTTTCCCTGTTCGCTTCATATAACGCACAAACAATATAATAATTAGATACATTATAGGTTTACAATCTTGAATACATATAAATACACAAATATGCTCAACTTAAATTATTTTTTACATAAAAAAAAAAAACTTTTTACATTTATCTTTTTCAACAGGGGCAATAATAAATATGGTTTATTGTTGCTATTAAGAGGTGCGCATAGCAAAAAAAAAAATCGTTGCTTATATTAGGGGGCAAAAAAATGTTTAAAACATAAAGCCAGATTTGCAAAATCAAATCTGCGCTAATACTATAAATTGTAATATATAAAAATTAAGTAGGCCATATTTGTTAAGACTATTTTAGTGTACATTTTGTTTAAATATAGTTTTTTTTTTTTTTTAGATGCTTAAAGAAACTTTGCGCACCATCCGAACACAAACAACAATTGTGAAAATTCTATTCTATATTGTTTGGTTTCAAGTTTTACACATTCTATGCACTTTAGCTACACTGGGAGTCTGGGAGGAGCTTATTTGTATATGTATAATATTGTCCTAAAAGCCTTAAAAAATATTACGCAGCATCGTGTCCAATGCCTAACCAAGCCAAGCACTGGACACATCTTTACAATTTACAATATACTCGGTACATAATATCTTGGTAGAGCAAAGGAACACAAGCAAAAGCCATGTGAAAGCTACAAAAAAAAAAAAGAACAAGAAAAGAAAACGAAAAACAAAAACAACACAAAATTTAAAGATGATGAAGGTACTCATCCACAGTTTAAACATTCGAAATATTTTTTTTGTTTTTTTTTTTTTAATATTTGCATATGTAGGTCTTTGTCTATTTGTTTTGTTTTTTTCTTTCTCTTTTTCTTTGATGTAGTCGTGTGATAAGTTTACATTTTCTTCTTTGTTTTTCATGTATGTGTGTGTGTGGATTTGGTGTCTATTTTTGTGTATACATACATACACACATGTACATATATACGGTTTCAGTTTCTATGTTAAAATTTAGGTACATTACAGTTCTTTGTATTATGTTGCTGCAATTTCGTATCGTTTTGAATTTGCATTATCTTATTGCGTGCTAACTAAGAAACTGGGCGAGCTAATCGAAAACGATGCTACGCCCCCACAGCTAAATTATATAGGCTTTTACTTTTGTGTGTGCGTTGGGTGGTGTACGTGTTGTGTTTTGTTGGATTTGTGTGTTTGTGTGTGTGTATGTGCCGCTAGTTGGGCGCATTCAGTGTATCCAAATTGGAGCCGTATTGTTTGTTCACAGACATCGTAAAGAGCCAAGCCACAGCCAACAAACTGCTACCCAACAGATCGCCCAGCGCCGTCAGATAGGGAATAGCCGAATTATCCGGATCGATCTTCCATTTCCACATCGCATGCACAATGATGTGCGCAATGTACAACAGCAACATTACCTAATTGTTGATCGAACGATGTTAAACTCAACTCTTGTAGATGA